AAGAGGACACGAGCCCTGCCACCAGACACAAGAAGCGCATCAACAAGGAAAGACAGATCAAGGAAGAGGATAGCACAAAGAACATGGATCAGGCCAAGCAAGAGATACCCGTCAAGATGAAGCAAGAAGGACCTGTTCCAACCCCTGTTCCGACCCCCTCCAGCCAGAGCCCAACAGACGATGAGCGTGAAGATGTTTTTGATGAAATCGTTGTCTGTGAAGATGTGGTAGACCTTAGCGAAATGGAAGATCCGCTTCATGATCTAGTGTTTTGCAGCATCCCTGGCGATAAGGGGCGTGAAGGCTTGGTAGACGACGAAAATGAAGTGGGCGAAGAAGACGGTGAAGAAGTTTTGGGCCCGGGGTTTGTAAGAGACTCATCACCCCATTACAGAGTCTAGTGCTGACAAGAATAACAGGTAAGCCGAGAGTCCGTTGCTCAAAACTTTGGGAGCGATCAAGCCCGACCCTCTACCACCGATATTGCTGGAGCGCTTCCACCAGCACATTCCACGCGCTTCAAAGGGACTAAGGTCCCTGTAACATTTGCTGTCCGACATAACAGGAAGGATTGACTACTCGGGTTCCTCATCAGAAATCTCGGCACCCTCGTCATCACTAATTCCTTCTATGTCGTTTCCTTCCTCATCCTCATATCCTAGTTCAACAAGTGGCTGTTCTGTTGGTTCTGCATCACCAAGCTCATAGTAGAAGGCCTGATTTGCTTGCTCGTATAATGCTTCCTATATGTAATCAGATTCGCCGACTTCGCACGGAAACGGTGAGGCTCACATATTCAGCGATGCCACCTGTTGGCGCCTTGCGAAATGCCAATAGAGGCCGCTGGCCACTCTCGATGTGTTGAATGATCCTGTCTCGAAGGCCTAAGTAGAAACGCTTGAAAGGCCGCAATTTGTCCGGCTCATGTTGAGTTCCAAGGGCCACGTCGTCGAAGCCCATTTCGACAAGGACTTGGCGGCACCAATCTTTTGTCTCTGGCTCTAAGCAAGTATTAATGTCGATGTCAGCCAATGGCCGCTCTAATTCAGCCAGAGCTGAGTGGTCAATGGGGATACCCCAGTTGCACGCCTTGTCGGGATCTGGGTAATGGTAGTTCATCCAGGGCTGACCGTGAACCACGTGGGGACGATTCTTCTGAAGGCGGATTCGATGAAGATTCCAAGCCTCCACGAAGTCGAACAGTTCTTGGCGTAATATATCTTCATATACTGCGTAGATGGCAATCTGATCCTCCAACATATCGCCGTCGAAGTCACCGTCCCTGGCGAGCTCCCCAAAGTAGTCAACCCACTGCCGGGAGGAGATGTGCAGCATACTCTCCCACCATTTCTCTATTTTCACGTTCTTGGTGCTTGGTGCAGCCTTGTAAGAATCCTTTAAGCGCTTTCCTTGCTTGAAGGCGCGCCCATTCCACTCCACTCGTCCATCTGCCGCCAAAGCAAAGTTCCAATGGGCCGCTGCGACCAGTGGCGTTTCGCTGCCTCTATCTGCCTGCAGATACCATGGCCGAATTCCGTAGGCGCCACAGGCGGCCAAATATTGTTTTAGAACGCTCAAGGCGGTCGTTGCCGAGTGGCCGACATAGAACCAGATAATATTGCGGGAGTAAGCATCGATCGCGGCATAGATCTCGAAACCATACGCTTTGAGTTTGTCATGGCCGTCAATACACCACTGGTAGTTCGGTCCCGGCACAAGAAACTGTCCCTTCTTTCTGCGGAACATTCTTTTCCGCATCTCGATCTCATTCGGGAACATAATTTTGTACATCGCAAAGAGAGGGTCTCTGGGTACCCAGAGCTGTTTTTGCTGACGAAGATAAGGCTGAAGGAGACTTTTTCCATATCCGGAAATGGCATTAGACCGTCGTGTCATTTCGATAATGACCTGCTCTGTCTTTTCCAGCAGCGCAAGGCGCTCTTCATCGCTGTTGATCCTGCGTACCCAGCGGCGGTCCGGGTGCAGCCTGATGCGCTTCAGACCTCGTTTC